TTCCCCATTTTATCATGCCCTTTGCCCCAAGTGTTCTGGTTGTCCATTCATGTTCATACGGCATCACCATTTTTTCGCTGTGACATTTTTGCTGGAGGTGGACCTGATTGGCTCAGCCCTGATTGGGTTGTCATGTGAGGGGGTGTGTTCCAGTCCTCTTAAACCATTTTGTGCCTTAAAAATGTTGGAATAGCAGGCCTACATTTTAGCTCTGAAGAAGGGAGTACGTCCCCCGAAACACGTTAGGCTACCTCACCAAGGGTCTACTGTTGCTTTAGGCTGTTATTATGGACTCTTCTTCTCTGTTTTTATCCCCCTTTGGTTTTTGAGTATACATATATATGCTTTTAAATAAATTTGTGTTTTCACCATGGTAATGCACGAGGAGAGTGCGCCCTGTACTTTTGTGAGGTCAGACAATGATGTCGGATGAGACTTGCAGTCTTTGCTCTAATTCATTCCAAAGGTGTTCTTTCAGGTTGAGGCCAGTCAAGTTCCTCCACCCCAAACTCGCTCATCCATGTATTTATGGACCTTGCTATGTGCACTGGTACACAGTCATGTTGGAACACGAAGGGGCCATCCCCAAACTGTTCCCACAAAGTTGGGAGCATGAAATTGTTAAAAATGTCTTGGTATGCTGATGCCTTAAGAGTTCCCTTCACTGGAACTAAGGGGCCAAGACCAAACCCTGAAAAACAACCCCACACCATAATCCCCCCTCCACCAAACTACACTTGGCACAATGGAGTCAGGCAAGCACTGTTCTCCTGGCAACTGCCAAAACCAAACACCTCCATCGGATTGCCAGACAGAGAAGCCTCATTCGCCACTCCAGGGAACACGTCTCCACTGCTCTAGAGTCCCATGGTGGCGTGCTTTACACCACTGCATCCGATGCTTTGCATTGCACTTGGTGATATAAAGCTTGGATGCAGCTGCTCGGCCATGGAAACCTATTCCATGAAGCTCTCTAAGCACTGTTGTTGTGTTAGTCTGAAGGCCACATGAAGTTTGGAGGTCTTTAACTATTGACTCTGCAGACAGTTGGCGACTTCTGCGCACTGTGCACTTCAGCATGCGCTGACCCCACTCTGTCATTTTACGTGGCCTACCACTTTGTGGCTGAGTTGCTGTTGTTCCCAGTTACTTCCACTTTGTTATAATACCGCTAACAAGTTGACCGTGGAGTATTTAGTTGCAAGGAAATGTCATGAATGGACTTATTTCACACATAGCAACCTATCATGGAAAGCACGCTTGAAATCTGTGAGCTCCTGAAAGTGACCCATTCTTTCACAAATGTTTGTAGAAGCAGTCTGCATGCCTAGGTGCTTGATTTTATACACCTGTTGCCATGGAGGTGATTGGAACACCTGAATCCAATGATTTCGAAGGGTGTCCCCAATACTTTTGGCAATAGTGTGTGTGTATATATATATATATATATATATATATATATATATATATATATATATAAGGTTCTCCTATATATTGCAGGTTTGACCTCATCCAAGTAAATTTGTCTCGTTTCATCCCTCTAAATTACATCAAGGGCTGAAATGGCAGGGGCAACTAAACTCGTATAAAGGTTGTTAAAGTTATCACTTATTCAATATAGCTGATAGGAGTAATAAAGTGTGAAATTTATTTCCCAAAACTGACAGTTGCAGCATTTGTCAATAATAGAAGTCATTGATTGTTTGGTCACGGCGACAGATTCCAACTGACCTCAGCATCCTTTAATGTGGATTAATGGCTTAATCCTTACAGTAATAGCAGCAAATAGATGCAAAAAAAATCGAGAAATACACGTCGTTCTTCCACATATTCTTTTTCTTAATCAACTTTGCTCTGTAGACTGATGTGCGCTCAAGATGCAGATTTTCATTCACCTGATGTATTCACCCCAGTCATTCTCCATTTCCATTTCATTTAGATCTAAAGGTTGGCTTCCAAGTGAATCTATCAAGGTTGAATAAGAATAAAGAAAAATGGCCAGGAAACATAGTGAAGTGTTTACACAATGATCCACATTCATAAGGGTTAATTCTTTGTCAGTGGAAAGAAAAAATAAATACAGTTTTACATTCTCGGCTTTGTCAACTGTGAAAAACACAATCTTGGCTAAAATCAATTTTAGTCTAAGCTTACATGTATAGCTCACAGCTGTCTGGATTTTGACAGATTGGGATACTTATTTCTCACAATAAAAAAATGCGTAAAGCACTAGTTCCTCCCAATTAATTAATAATATGTAATACTGTAAAATACTTAGTATGCTTTTACATAAATATATATATATATATATATATATATATATATATATATACGCACTCACCAGCCACTTTATCACATTCCCCTGTTCAATTGCTTGATAACACAAATTGCTAATCAGTCAATCACATGGCAGCAACTCAATGCATTTATGGCATTCAGAAGATGACTTGCTGAAGTTTAAACTGAGCATCAGAATAGGGAAGAAAGGGGATTTAAGTGAGTTTGAACATGCATGGTTGTTGGTGCCAAATGGGCTGGTCTGAGTATTTCAAAAATTGCTGATCTACTTGGATTTTTACGCACACCCATCTCTAGGGTTTACAGAAAATGGTCCGAAAAAGAAAATATCCAGTGAGGGCAGCTGTGTGAACGAAAATGCCTTGTTGATGTCAAAGGTCAGAGGACAATGGGCAGACTTGTTTGAAATGAAAGAAAGGCAACAGTAACTCATGTCAATATGGACCTTGTTGAGTCTATGCCATGAAGAAATAGTGTATACAGTATATATTATAACATTCAGTTTCTTCTGGCACAGTGATCTTAGATATGTGCACGCCAGAAATGTTAATTTCGGATGTATTGATTAATTGAAGAATTTTGTTTCATCATATTCATTATGTTGAACCAATTTGTTTCCTATTTTTGTGGTACTGGAGGATTCACAAAATTTTGTAGTTTTTCCAGAAGATTACAATATCTTCAATATATTGTCGAATCCGATGAATTTGAATCATAAAAATTCAATATTTTTGGATGTTAGTCCAACTGACCAAGAGAAATGGCTTGAGCTGACTGGACGATATTGACTGGGGCTATGTGCATCTGAATTAACAAATGGAATGAAATTTGGATCTATTCATTATCAGAATCCAAATTATCAAATGAATTGTAAAATTGAATTCATTTCCCCATGGGCTTGAACTACTGTTGCACCATTTGACATCATCTGAATGAAACAAATGCATTTATTAATTATTTTATAACTTTTTTTTTCATATTTATTGCCATTCATTTCTGTGTCCATTTGGGGATTTGGATACATCCCAATCTCAGAATATGAAATGTTTGTCCAAAAAATGAATCAAAACGAAACGAATTGCACATGTAAATCCTGTTAAAGTGGTTCTAAAGGCTTAAGGTGTTTTTTAGTTTAATGCATTCTTAGATCTAGCAGATGGATTAGCCGATTTAGATTTGACTAACAAATTAAAGCTGAAATTCAGATAACACTTTATAAGCAGATTACCACTGAATCACCAGGTGAAAGTAAATGAAGAACAAGTCTAAAAAAAAGGAAAATAATGCAGCCATCACATCTAAAAATTGTAAGCTGCAATGTATTATTTTTTTTTTCGGGGGGGGGGTTAATACTGCTTTAAGGTTTTGGTGGAGTTTTCATGGATGCAATTAAACACAAACGTATTGTAAAAATACACAAGCAGAGGTTACTTTATTCCCATCTGCAAAGCAAATTATGAATAGGAAATGGCAGCTAAAATTATATAAAGTCTTCACTTTTTTCTGTAAAATCAAGTCCTGCTCTACAGTATCTCACCTCCTGAGTCTCCGTTTGGACAGTGGGGTAGCCCATCATATTAATGAACCAATAAGGAGACTTATGAGGCAGGAGATGGTAGCGTCAAGGTTAACTTTCATGGCACAGTTGAAATAGTATAAGCTGCCAATATATTTGGATCATTTAATCATTTTTAAGTTTGGCTTTCACTGAAGTAGCCTCTGTTATGCATGTTTTTAATTGCACACATTAATCGGTCCGGGTTAAAATTTTCTTTAAGCACATATTTTAAGGTCAGTGACATTCTTGTAGTTAAAACCTGGTGCTTTGCTTTTTACACCTGTTCTTGGGGTTATTTGGGGAGCTGATTTGGAAAACTGGATTGGCTAGAATGCCTCAGCTCTGGTTTTTTAGGTAGAGTCGAAATGTATAATTTTTCAACAGTTTTTGAAAAGATCATCCTGATCAGTTGGTTCTTTCGTTACCTAGTTTGTGTTTTTACGTACGTAAGTTAGCAGATATGTGAGAGTGTTTACATACTTCCAACTGTACTTTTACGTTGGAAACATTGGATTCTAACGTGTAAGTTAATAACTGTATTATAGTTATAATCATATAGGAGCTGTGTGTATATTGGCACTCATATCAGATCATTTTTGCAGATTGAGCACCATAGAGGTTATAAGTACTTTTTATATTTTTTTTTTCATGCTACAAGGAGAGTAAATAAAAAAAACTACATTAAAATATCCTGACATTTGACAGGCAAGCAGAATGAAGAGTGGTATATGGCATGCATGCTGTATCTCAAAAGCTAACTTGGATAGGGAAAAATTGGTGCCATTTTTGGAATCAGTGGGCCAGATATACCCAGGAACAGGTCTAACATTCAAGGCATCAAAATGAATGTTGGCCTGTGTTATCTTTAACAAAAGTGCTATTTACTACATGTGACTGTATTAGGTTCAGGCTCACATTTGTTTGTGTAAAAATATATTATGGTTGTTTCACACCAACAAACTTTTGTTTACCCATACCACAGCGGGATTAGTCACATTTTACACAATTGCTAGTATTATTCTATAAGGCATTTAAACTAACTATCCAAAAATGTTTTGTACTTTTAGAGCCCATGGACCTGACGCCATGATCCTTGTTGATGGGCAGCCAAGGAGACAGAAAAGGAGACCTGGGTCTGTCACAGATGCTACATATTGCCACACAGATTGCGTCAGGAATGGTTTATCTGGCATCTCAACATTTTGTACATCGAGACCTGGCTACCAGGAACTGCTTAGTGGGAGCAAACCTGCTAGTTAAAATTGGAGACTTTGGCATGTCCAGAGATGTCTACAGTACAGACTACTACAGGGTAAGGACACTTCTGGCATCTGTTGTTAGGATTATATCTCATGTTTACTCAACAAAGAAGTACAACTTAGTACAAACATCGGAAAACATGACAGACCGGGTTGATTGATTCGATTGATTTTTAATCCGTTTTCCATTGCAGCCAACCAATCATATCTTGCTGTAAATTAAGAATGTTTTAAGAAATAGAAATATTAATAAATTTATGTTATCAAATTAACAAAATGGAAAGTAAATGAACAGAAGAGAAATCCAAATCAAATCAATATTTTATGTGACCGCCCCCCAAACCTTTGCCTTCAAGACAGCATTAATTCTCTTCTAGGTACACTTGCACACAATTTTTTGAAGGAACTTAGCAAGTAGGTTGTTCCAAAAATCTCAAAGAAAGATCTTCTGTGGATGTAGGCTGTCTCAAATCCTTCTGTCTCTTCATGTAATCCCAGACAGACTTCCATGATGTTGAGAGCAGGGCTCTGTGAGGGCCAAACCATCATTTACATGACTTCTTGTTCTTCTACCTTGTGTATTGTTGCTGTGCCTAGTCTGTGCAAGGTGTTCTGTTTATGACTTGTGACAATCAGCATAGTAGCAAAGTATGGCTATTCCTCTCCCAAATTTTAAGCCAGACCTCGAGATCCAGTTCTTTGATAAAATTCCTACACAGCTGTTTCTGTTTCAGTTAAGGACGCGTGTTTCAACCATACACATAAAATTGATGATTCATTAGAACCTACTTGGTGTAAAGTCATATGGTGGCACTGGTTAATCATACTCCTGACTTTAATCCTTACAAAATCCTTGACTTTGTGCAAAGTGTACAATGTGTGCAAGTTTAAGAATTGCCTATATGGGTTTTGTCCTTCTTTTCATGCTGGTTTGAAGCCAAAGGATATGCATACCAATATTGATTTGATTTAGATTTTACTCTTCTTTACGCTCACTTTGCATTTTGTAAATTGATTAAAAATAAACAATCTTCTTTTTTTTTAATTATATCTTTATTGAGTATTTTTCTTTTTTTTCCCCATTCCATTATTTTAAAACAATACACTTTCATCATTATCACATAAAAAATGCACACCATTCCCCTATGTTCCCCCACCCTCAATACCTCCCCCCAAATCCCACCAGCAATGACCCCCCTCAATTCCCCCGATCCATGTAATTCTGTCCAAATCTTCCCATCCATTCCTATACATCACTATACCTCTTTTATGCCGGAGCGTGGTACAGAGTTTCATCCTCTCTCCTGTAATTTTTTAAATCTTCAGTTCAGTTGTCCTACATCAATCCAACTGAGGCTCCCACCACGTCCAGATATTTTTTTTGATGTCTTAAACTCATACCAACTAACCCATTCCTTTCTAAATTTTAGCACTCCACTGTAATAGGCAGTCCATTTTATCTTCATCTATGTGGTATAGCTCTTCCATCCTTATTTATATAGTCAACTCTATCAGTTCAATCCCTCAATGTTGGGGGGTCCTGTACCTGCCAGAATACGGGGGATAAATGCCTTGGTTGCACTTATTAAATGATATAATGTTTTTGTATTGTTTCACTGGTATTTCTGATCCATAGAACAGACATCCCCATGGCTCTTTCTGCACATTGATCCCCAAAATTTCTTGTATAACTTGTATAATATCCTGCCAAAACATCTGTATTTTGGGACAATCCGACCATATATGTGCCATAGTTCCCTTCAGTCCACATCCCCTCCAACACAACAATGATTCCTCTCCCCGCAATCTATGTGCCACAATGCCATCTGTGTAAACATTTATAATTCATTTCAACCGTGCTCATGTTTATTGCACCGTGTATCAATTTGTACATTTTGTGCAGTTCACTTATTTTCATTTCATTCCCAGTCCCCTTTACCATTTCTCTAAGAACAACAGAGGGTCCGCTCCCATCAATTCAATAAGAATCTTATATATCCTAGAAGTAATATGATTTGGAGCTCTATCAGAGCTCAGCATTTTCTCAAATGGGATCATATCCTCCGGCATCCTTGGAGTCTAGGGAAGCTTTAAAACAAAATGCCTTAATTAATAATAATTCATTAAATCTAGTACAACAAATAAGTCTTTCTTCCTTTTTAAATCCTGAAAAGTGAACAACTCCCCTGATTTACTGTCATTCCCTGGTGTAAAAAACTCCTTCCCCACCAATGGGATAAATAAAGAATTATACTTCCACCCCAAATGCTTGTGTGTTCCATCCCACACTCTCAAAACTTCCCATGTCAATGTGCTACTAGTTTCATCCATAGTGCAAAACGTTTGTGGTATCCAAATAATCTTCTCAAGACGTGCATTACTTAAAATACCTTCCATTTTAACCCAACTTTTCTCCAGTGAATTACAAGTCCAATCTACTACTCGTGACAACATCACCGCAATATAATATGTCCTAAAATTATGCAAATTTAATCCCCCTTTCTTTTTATCCGCTGATGGATCATTGTAAAGCTCCTTTATCCACTTTATCATTCTAGTCACCATTCCTAAAACCTCCAGTGTACTTATCATAAAATCCCAATCCACCCCGTCGAATGCCTTTTCAGCATCGACCGACAGGATGATTGTCGGAAATTTTTCTTTCCTTACTTTTTGTATGAGGAGTAGTGATCTTAAACTATTGTCCCTTCCTTCTCTACCTAGGACAAAGCCCATCTGATCTAAGTGTATCCATTCCATTATCAACTCCTTTAATCTAGTAGCTAATACTTTTGCAAGAGTTTTGTGTCTGTATTTAATAGTGCTATAGGTCTATAACTAGCGCATTGTGAACAATCCTTACCTTCTTTAAGAATGATTGTTATATTTTATTGTAAGGATTCTTCTCTTATTCCCATTCCTTCCCCTAGGGCATTCATTTATAAACCCAGTTTAGGTATCAATAAATCTCCAAAATTCTTATAATACTCCACCGAATACCCATATTGGGTCCTGGACTCTTTCCTCCTGCTGTACTTTTCAGGGCCATACTTATCTCTTACTGGGAGAAGACAAGGCAGAGCTCTGTCCTGTCAGCAGGGATGTGCTGGATTTTGTTTCCCTGCAAAGAAGGGAATACAATCTAGCACATCCCTTTAGTAAAAGCACCTGAAAGTATACACAAAAACACTGGTTAGGCACATATTAAACCCTCTGATCGCCCTAAATGTTTAACCCCTTCCCAGACAGTGTGATTAGTACAGTGTCAGTGCATATTTTTAGCACTGAACACTGTATTGGTGTCACTGGTTCCAACAAAGTGTCAGTTAGTGTCAGATTGCCCACTGCAGTATCGCAGTCCCTCTATAAGTAGCTGATCGCCACCAATAAATAAAAATGTCAGTATATACAGTATTCCATAGTTTGTAGATGCTACAAAGTTTGCATAAACCAATCAGTATATGCTTAATTGAGATGTTTAATCTTTTTAATTAGATATGATTTATAGCAGAGAGTAACAAATATTGTTTGTTATTCAAAATATTTGGTCTTTTTTCATTTTTATATATATGAAAAAATAAAAAATTCAATGGTGATCAAGTACCACTAAAAGGGAACTCTCTTTTTGGGAACAAAATTCTGTACATTTCATTTGTGTAGCAGTGTTTGACTGCGCAATAGTTAGTTAAAGTACCACAGTGCCATAAAGAAAAAAATGGCCTGGTCAGGTAGGGGGAAAATCTTCTGGAGGTCAAGTGGATATTGATTTTTTTTATCCCAACAAACTATACAAATGTCTCAATGGTTACCACAGATAGTACACATTGTAGTGAGAAAGGTACTCAAGTAATTTAATATAAATATTTTAAATGGTTGTCCTAAAGTGTTACTAAATCCACATCAATAAAATCAGTCTATATATATGTATGCAGTAAAGCATGCTTGCTATATTCATTGTGGAACCTAAGGGGTTACTTCTCTAAATTGTGTAAAAAGGCTGTTTAATCCTCTCTTCTCTGCCCCTCCTCTTGTTCAAATGTCCAGGTCTTATCTCCTGATAAGACAAACTGAACCCATAGCCCTTCTGCACATGCTCAGTTTAGTGTGCATTGCTAGAGATTTTATTTTTTCCTTGGGAGAGTGCATGTGATCAGCACAGGGCTAATCAGCACTGTCCAGAAAGAGGTCAGTAGCTGCATTTTCCTAGAGCAGAAATAAAACTTCTCCTACAAGCTTTAACTAGTGCTCTTCTGAAGTCACAAGACTGCTCTAACTGCTGATGAGAAAAGGTGTTTAGCAGTTTATATTTACTAAAATAATTGCGCTTCCATGTTCTGTGTACTGTGGGAGACCAGATATAGTGAATGCAGGGTCATGGGTTCAGTAACACTTTAAAGCTAATAGTATTCAAAATTATTATTATAAAATGTAGTAGGGTAATATTTGGATCCAAGGAATTGAACTGATTCTTTTTGAGGTCAATAAGGTGTTTTTTCCATCTAGCCACTGTTACCCAGGGGTTTACTGTTATGTATTTCTCTGATCCAGAACTGCTACATTTGTTTTATGAGTGGTTAAACTTAATGGACATGCACTTGTTTACAACTTAAATAATGACAAAGCTAAATCTGTCACTATAAAATCAGAACAATTTATTTAAGTTTCTAATGCTGGCTGATTACATTGTTGAAAAGAAATAAAAAAAAAAAAAACACAACTGAAAAATACTATTGGAGTATGTAGTTTGTAAGATTCTTTTTCTAAAATGTAAAATTAAATGTATGAACAATTTGCAACAGTGTGCCACCTAACCACACAAATCTTGTAACAAATAAAATCAAATTTTCTGTAATTCCTTACCATTTTCTTTTTAAGAAAGCTGGTACTGAATTGTACAAATCCAGACCGATAAGATATGCAAAAACATAATTCCACCAACACATCAAATAGATGCCTGTATGTTGAATTATACACTCATGCAGTGTCATTTCATAGCAGTTTTGTCTGCTCTGGCAAACCTAAAAAAAATAATTGTGTTAATATTTATAGCGTAAGCATCATTGTGTATATAACCAAAAGCTTGCAAGAGTGCCAAAGTCACTTAGCCTTGATGAAATTGTCTTCTGCAACATTATTTTGGACTCCTGGCTGCATTCGTGCT